CCACACTGTTCTCTACTCATTTCTCAGGGCAGGGTTCTGCCTCTCTCATTCCTTCTTCCAGGTTTGAAGGGTGAGGGTCAGGGCAGGAAAGGTACACACAGAAATGAAAAGCTGCAGTGCTCGTTGGTGGCTTTTGAGGCCGAAAAACTGATGGCACTTGAAATTAGTTCCTACTCTTGGCTGGCGTTTTCCACAGATGGCAAATGGGGCAATTTCATGCCCGGGTGGGTTGAGGGGTCTGTCTGATCCAATGATGTCTTGTCACGTTAAACAGTTTTTATTAAATGGAAGACTTCTGTTTGAGCAGAAGTCCTTTTTAAGGATGTCAGTATATATCGAAACAGGAAATCTTGTTTCTTTTGGCAAGGACTTTCCAAATGTATTTGATCTATCCATTTGGCTCTTGCTAGAAACATAAATAAATCTTTCCAAATTAATGGATATTTGATTTAGGAGTATCCAAAGAAGATGATGATTCCAGAACTTCCTTTAGTAATATATTCTGGTGCCTCCCAGTTTTTATCATTAACTTTTCTTTAGTGTTGGACATAAGTCATTCCTAAAATAATATAATTTCTTGTCCTTTTGTCATTAGTGATGGCTAAATTTCTCACCACCCTCAAGTGTTAAGAACTTATCACGAAAGAGGTAATGAGTCATAAACCTGGTGTAGTCCCGCCTGAGGGTGTTAGCCCAGAGGTTGCCCCCGCCATTTCAACTGTGGGACGCCCACCTGGCCAGTCCCAGGGCAAGGGTGCTGGCCAGCAGGCAGCTGTGGCAGAGCCCTTGTACTAAAGCTGTATATGTGGTTCTGTGGGGGCTTATCAACTCCCCCTAAACACATAATTGAAGCAAGAGGATTTATCTGATTCCTCGAAGCCTGAAGCCTGAAGCCTGGCAGTGGTAAAGCGGTAGGCAGGGAGCAGTTATTGGCACCTGCGACGACAGCAGAAGTTTCAGTTTGACAGCCTGACAGTGAGGGGGAGATAAAAAAAAACACCGCACAGTAAGGGATGCAGACAAAAATCTGTGCAGCAGGTCTGGTTCAAAAGTCTGACCAGAGTGTATTCTCTTGTAGATTTTCACAGGGAAAAGTGTGAAATTAAGATGTTTTATTACACTGATGATTGCAGAGGAAGAAACCGGGTAGACTCTCCCAGGGATATTGCACAGCAGGGTTACTGTGAAGATCAGCAGGGATCTCCATGGAGTGCCGGGCACTGAGTAGCCTTGAGCCTGGCCCCTGGGAGGGGAGCTGTAGATTTGTGTGGCTCTGGGATCTGGATGGTTAAAATATGTGGCTCATTGTAGTTGCTAAATAAATATGGATTGAATGAATGTAACAGCTTTTCAAGCAGCCTACTTATGATTTCCTAAGCGAATGGGAGTACACACCTAACGTAGATCATGAAAGCTAATTTAAACTGTTTAATTTACTGTTTTGTTTTAAACTGTTACTTTTTTTTTTAAGATTTTAAATTTATTTATTTGACAGACGGAGATCACAAGTAGGCAGAGAGGCAGGCAGAGAGAGAGGAGGAAGCAGGCTCCCCGCTGAGCAGAGAGCCCAATGTGGGGCTCGATCCCAGAACCCTGGGATCATGACCCGAGCCGAAGGCAGAGGCTTTAACCCACTGAACCACCCAGGCGCCCCAAACTGTTACATTTAAATTGTTATGTTCTCTCTTGGCTATAGAGGAACTCCGATCCAGTTGTAAAGGTAATTAATTTATTTGACCTTCTTTTACATAAAGCAAGATGTTAATCATCAAGCACCAGTATGATAGAAATGTGGAAGAGCTGGTCAGTAGAGAATTTGTTATTGGGCAGACATATCCATAGGTCTTGTGAATAATGGGAAATACATAATGCTGGAAGTCCAGCATACGTGTGCATTTACTTTGAAGGAGAGTCTTTTTTTTTTTTTAATTAACATAAATGAACAAGAGTCTGGAGTCTAGTCCCTGAATGGACCAGTTAGCCTTCTTGGCTGCTTGGCAGTGGGTGTTCCTCCAGCCCCCTCTCATGGGCTTGTTCTCAGATGTGTGGAAGGACAGGAAGGACCGGCGGGAAACACATCGGTTACTAATGACACCTGTTCGTCTCTGCTATTGTGTCTACAGGTGCACACACTCCAAGGAGGTTGGGTTGGAAAAGCATCCAGCAGTACTCCCTGAATGTAAAGAACAGTTCAAGGTTTATTTCAGAGCTTAGGTATTCCTAAATTTAAAATCTAGCTGTAGGATGGAGACATCAGGGAGGAAACACGATGGTATTCTTTTTCAGGGAGGTCCATAGATCCTTAGAGAATGCATATGTGGATGTCAGGGGTTCCACGAACCTCTGAAATGGAAGGCAGCATTCAAGATGTTTTTATATTTTTCTGGCACAATGGTCTTTTAAAAAATTTTTAAAATTTTTTAAAATTTAAAATTTGAGAATTTTAAGATTCTCAAAATTGTCTTTGACTCAGAAAGAGTATTTGAAAAAAAAAAGGAAGATTATTTGATGTTTGAACTATTATAGGCACTGGTGCTCTGCATAATGATATTATTTTTGACTTTATGGAAGTGATCAAAGTAGAGGTATCATTCCAGTTTAATAGCTCAGAGTGCTTGCTGATGTAGCTGGCAGCCCCAGTAAGTGGCAGAACTTTGAATCCAGTGGGGTCTGATATGACCTGGTCCCATTCCTGACTCTTCTGAGTGTACTGGGTATGTCATATGCCTTGTCTGGGCCTGAATTTCCTCATCTGTGAATTGAGGGGTTTAAATTACATGAGCTCTTGAGGACCCTTTTAGCTTTCAACCAAGCCTCTGTTTCCCCTAGATGCCTTTAGCTTCGCCCTTAGTTCTTGGTGGCTGTTCTGTGTCATGGTTTCCGCGGTAGTGTGAGGTGTCCATCTGAGGAATGTTTTGCAGCAGTTCTGTGTTTTTCTTCTACAAAGGTCTCAGTCCTCGTAAGCTTTTAGAGCCCTTTTCTTAAAATCTCAGTGAACGGTGGTAGATGTATGATGCAAAATCCCTCTTTTATAATTTTTTCAAAATTATTTTTATTAACATATAATGTATTATTATTTTTATTAACATATAATGTATTATATTAACATATAATGTAAATTTGGTCTGTGAATTATGAGGCTTACACATTTCATAGCACTCGCCATAGCACATACCCTCCCCAGTGTCCATAACCCAACCACCCTGTCCCTATCCCCCACCTCCCAGCAACCCTCAGTTTGTTTTGTGAGATTAAGAGTCTCTTATGGTTTGTCTCCCTCCCTATGTCATCTTGTTTCAATCCTTACCAAAATACCATCAATTTTTTTCAGAGAAATGGAACAAATAATCCTAAAATTTATGTGGAACCAGAAAAGACCCCAAATAGCCAGAGGGATGTTGAAAAAGAAAGCCAAAGTTGGTGGCATCACAATTTCTCTTTTATCATTTTTAATCAGAGTTTATTTTCTGTTGCACTGGGTTAGTTTTAAAATGTTTGCTCAATGCTGAGTAAAGTGAGTTGGACTCGGTTCTCTACTCGTTGCTTATTAGCCTTACTCTGAATAACGCTTTGGGGAGGGGATGCCTGACCCAAGTCTGTGTGATGGAAAGGTAAGGGGACTTTTAACGCCCGCAGGACCATGGGATTATGTTGGCCTTGGGTGAAATGCTGCACCCAGTGCATTCCAGCATGTGGCTCTAAATGTTTTGTATGTCATGATTCATGGTTTTAGGAGTCTCAGGAGCCTGCAGCTAATTGCTGCTAACATAGCTCTCAGATGATGGTTCTCCACAATATGATGATCCTTCCAAGCTGTAGAGGAATGACCTGTAGGGGCTGCCAGCGGGAGGCAAAGGAGGGTTCTCCACCCCACCCCACACCCCGGCTGCTGGCGGGAGACCGGAGGGGCAACAGCAGGTACATGAACGGCTGCATTTCACCTTCGCTGAAAGCTGGGAGTGAAGGAATAACTGAGTCAGTTTAATTCTCTTCGGAAATACATTTTCTCAGCTGATGAGAAAAGATCAGTGGAGGAATGCTCGATGTTTATAAAACTATACGCTCTTTTAAACTTCCTTATCAAAATTCTACCTTCAGAGGGGTGGTCTGACGATTAATAATCAAGTTCTTTTTTTTTTTTTTTTAATTCCCAGAAGTCTGTACTCTGCGCAGACTTGCATATAGCCCAGCTTTGCAGGAGTTCAGAAGTTGGAGCTGCCGGCTGAAGTGTTGCCTGTGGGGGAGGAGGCGGGGTTTTTTGTGTCCAATGAGGAGCCTTCGCTGTGGGGAGAGCCTATCGCCTTTCACCCGAGTGCTTACCCTGTAATCCCGGCGATAGCCACGCAGCCGGGTTTATTGTTTGTGGAGTCCTGTGGATCCTGAGCGGTTCACCACCGCAGAGAGGGCAAGTGGGCGCGTCATGATTCTGTGCCGAGCGGCGACAAGGAGCCGACCGCTTTGATCTCCCCCGGGTCACCTGTGTGGGTGAAGTTTACACGGGGCGCCCGGGTTGACGCCGAACCTCTTTCTCCAGCCTGTGGAGTTCTTCCGTCCGTCTGCCGCAGAGGGCTGCTCTCGCGGCTCCCTGCCCGCGTGGGGAAGGATGCTCGGGACGGGAGCAGGATTGCAGGAGGGGATGCTGGGCACACACCAAAGAGTCGGCGTGCCTTGGTTTTGTTCTTCTCCGAGTCCTGACAAACGTTCCTGAAACGAACACCCTGCTGCATTTTTAAAATTATACCAAACCAAGTGCCACAGTGTGGCTAGGATAATTTTTGTTTGTTTGTTTTGTTTTGTTTCCTAACCCCTCATTTTCCTTTTCTTTGTAACTGGGTGACATAGAAGCAGTCTTCCTGCATAATGCCGTGCCTGACTCTCAACATTGTCTGAATAAGTGGGAAGGAGCAGGTTCGTTGGAAGGACATGGAACGATAGTGAAACCGAGCTTCTTTTTTTGCTGGGCTGTGCTTTGTTTCTAGTCGATGTTGGTGTGAAAGAAGATGAAAAAGGAAGGCTCTTTCAGACTCAAGTCAAATTCAGGGTCTCTCTCACGTGCTGTGAGTTGGATCAATTTCTCCTCCTTGTCCAGGCAGACAAAGAGGCTGTTTCGCAGTGATGGAGAGCTCTCGGTTTGTGGGCAGCAGGTGGAAGCAGATGATGAAAACTGGAATTACAGAACCCAGCCCAGAAAAGGTGACTGATTTTTTTTTTTTTAAATTTAAACATTCTTGCAGGTTTGCAATGTAGCGTTCATTTTCTTTCACTGATTTCCCTTCATGATTTTTTTTTTTTGGCCCCGTTAGAGGAGTTTTGTTTGTTTTTGTATTGGAATTCGGCGTCATCCATTTGTTTACATGTCTAAAATCAAAGTGCTCTTCCAACTAGATTCAGCTTGAGGTTGTGTCCTTCTAAGAAGGATAAGATAGCTGTTAGTGGTCCTCAGCACCCCTTCCCCTCAGCAGATCCACACACTCAGGTGACTTGTGAAAAGTTCAACAGTAAGCCACCCTCACAGAAGGAGTCTTCTTCTCTTACAACTTGAAGTTGGGACACGGAGCTCTTTACCGAAACAATGCACTGAGAAAACTTTGGAAATCATGAATAGTCTTCTTGTGTCTTTCTTTAAGAAGACTGATGAAGGATGCAGACACTTGAATTAAACAGGTATTAGAATGACATCAAGGAAAAGGAACACATGAAGGGCTTGCCCTTGATACTGTGGCCAAAAGGAGTTTTTTGGATTTCTTTCAAGTTCCTTTTCAGACCAGTTGTGGCCTCTGTGCTTGGGGTTAGCATGTTTTGCCTTCCTTGGGGTGAAGAAAAATATCAGTCCTGGTGGGAGAGAGGGAAATATTTCAGTATTTCTTAACACACCCCTATTTTGTATTTAGAATTTCTGAGTTCTCCCTTTTAGAATGTTTACCGTAGAGCTCTAAAATGGTTTCCCCCTTTGGTGCTGTGGCAAAGCCTGGTAGGGGAGCGCTATTTAAGTATTACAAAGGAACCCAGTCCAGACATTCCTCCTGATTGTGTTTTCCCTGTTTATCGCATTCTTCCCGTGCCAAGAGGTTCCAAGAGAAACCTCGCTAGAATCTTTCAGCGACCTGTTCTTTCCCATATTTTGGGAAACAGAACAGCCGAATCCTGAGAGAATAAGTTGCATATGGGCCGATGGTACAGTGTTTTTAGTCTGCGGACTGAGAATTTAACACAACTGTTCCTCGAGGATGCTGTGTGTTAAACAGAGTGGTAAACAGTTTCTCTATTAAAAAGTCTTCTCTATTAAACTGTGGCACAGAAGGGACTAGCTAATGCCCTCGGAAGATGTCAGTTGTTTATTATGTCAGGAAAGGGGCTCTAACAGCAGTCCACTGATAATTGAGCTTAAAGATGCAGGTTTTTAGTTCAAATGTGGAGTAATTGCCACACAGAGAAGAGGCTTTCTGGCTGGAGTTATGTGGTTTAGTAAGTCCATGAACTTTGCTCTTCTAAATCAGGAATAAGCTGCGGTTTTGGTTAATGGGTGGGTTGTAATGTTTGAGGCAAAAATGTTTGCAGGGCGGATACAGTAGTCCTGTGGTCATCAGAGGGTGTAGTTTTGATTCCATTGGCCTTTGCCAAAGGTTGTTCTTTTATGACTTGTTTTAGATCAACTGCCGTCAGGTTTCCGTTAAAGACTCTAGACATGTGAGCATGGCTTTAGGGTTTCTATCATAGATGCTCCATCTAAATTAACATTAAAGGGAAAGATAACTGTAAATATGCATGTATTAGTTTTAGCTGGGAAATGAAGCAAATACTGTACACTTGACTTGTGAAGAATAATGAGGTTATTATAGAGAAGAGGGGTGACTTGTAAAAGGAGGGAGGACTTGTTTGTGCAACAACACAAAAGATTGTGCCCTTTATCCCTTAATGTAATCGGGGATATAGTAGCCCCGTGAAGAGACATGGAAGCATAATACAGTGTGTAAATTTATATGGTTCTTAGAAATAAATGGAGATGGGTAATACTGCCATTTTTTGTCATAGGCAGCTAGGGGAAATCCTTAAAAAGCTGCCTGTAGATCAAAATTTTTACATTTGACTTACAAAAGAAAATTGGCTCCCAACTTTGACATCCTGTCCCAAAGGCATTGATCTTTGACACTTGATCTTTATTTCAAGTAGTTCTTCCCTTTGGAGAAATACAGGAGGGATATTTGTTTGCACTTCCAGATCAAAAGAGGATCAGTCTTTCACTAAAATTACTCAAGATTGGAATTTTTTTCTTAGGAGTATCAAATAAGTTAGAAGTCTAGCAGGGATTATCAGTCAGTGCTAAGAATGCCAATGGTTAGGATTTGGTGGCAAATAAACATGCATTGAAGATATATCCGTCTGATGGGAATTGTATAGCATCTTTTACTTTACTATTTCTTTTAAGGTTTTATTTATTTATTTATTTATTTATTTATTTATTTATTTATTTATTTATTTGACAGAGATCACAAGAAGGCAGAGAGGCAGTCAGAGAGAGAGGTGGAAGCAGGCTCCCCACTGAAGCAGAGAGCCCGGTGCGGGGCTGGATCCCAGGACTTTAGGATCGTGACCTGAGCCGAAAGCAGAGGCTTTAACCCACTGAGCCCCCCAGGCGCCCTAGCATCTTTTACTTTAGCTCTGCCTGCCCAGAGCACATACATTCGAGACCACATACTTTCCTTTCACCCTGCTCCCCAACTCCCCTATCTTATAGTAACATTTTTTGATCTACACAGGTTTCTAAAAACCTGTTATTCTGCCTCCCCTCCCCCGCACACACGCACACACCTCCACCAAGCAGTGAGCGCTAAGGGTAGGTCAGTGTAGCTTAATAAGTCAGCCTTACTTCAGGGTTGTGTCCTGTGTCCTCCCCACCCCCTTGGGATAGCTGGCTGCTGGGGCTGCCGGTTCTGCAGCCTTATGCCTTTCTCCCTTCCATCTAGCAGGTGCTGCAAGGCCAGAGTGCTTGCGTGCTCCCTGCCCACCGTCTCCCCATCACATCGCTTTGCAGAGTCAGCCCACTGAATCCTTACTGTCCTGTGGGTACTGTGTTGTGTGCATGCTCATTTTTTTTTTAAAGATTTTTTTTTATTTATTTATTTTACAGAGATAGAGAAATCACAAGCAGGCAGAGAGGCAGGCAGAGAGAGAGGGGAGGAAGCAGGCTCCCCGCGGAGCAGAGAGCCCGACGCGGGGCTCGATCCCAGGACCCTGGGATCATGACCTGAGCTGAAGGCAGAGGCTTTAACCCACTGAGCCACCCAGGCGCCCCGCATGCTCATTTTATAAAACAGTTCTTAGAAGCTCTTTTGAGAGTGAATCTCCATGCTGAGTTGCTTGTTAGGACCATCGCAGTAAAGTTTTTAAGTAGTTACCTGTATGGATATCTATCAAGACACAAACCTATAGGCTTGCATTTTAATGTTGTCACATACACTCAAGAGACTAAGGATAAAATTACAGTGCTTGAAAATTCCTTGGAGAATGTTCCTATAAGATTAGATGCTATTAATAGGCATCTTTCCAATTATACTACTTTTCCTGAGCCTAAAAAGTAACTAGAAGATACATACTGGTATGTCCAAAGCAATCACAAGTAAGCACCTGATGTTTTCTTTTGTTCCAGCACCTGGCAAGTTTCAGAACTTCAAAACTATTGGCATTTGTACCGAGGAAGGTAAAAATGAATTAAGTAATAGCAGTTACCAGTTCTAATGTTCTTAGTGGGATATGACCCATTAAAATAGCAGATTATGTTTTGACTTAATTAACTATAAAAATCAAGGATGTGAATCAGTATCTTCTTGAGTATAAATTTAGTGAATCATGAGCTGTTTCATTCGATGCCTGTGTAATAAAAAAGTAGAAGTCAGTTGTAGGTGAGACAGTATATACCTTTTCACATGGAGTTGTGGGAGCATTTATTGAAGGAATTTTTAGTACTATGTGCACAAAGAAATATAGCACACAGGCTGGGAAGTCATGGAGTTCATACTTAAGTGGAGGAGCAGATAGGACATCTAAGGGGATTATAGGGAAAATGCAGGATAATTGTGAAAAATGGAAAATGAATATCTTAGATGAGAAGGTCCAGATAAAGAAACTTTATCTTGAGCATTTTCATGTTTTGCGTGGTCTTCTGGCTGTTAGCATTGATTTGCACAACATTTAATGAGCTCCTGCTTTGTTTCCAGCACTGTGGAAGGTTCTCAAGGGAAACTAATGACTTGTATTTATTCTGTGCTCCCCCATCTTGCTCACTTACCCTTCTCTTGTCAAATAAAACCAAAAGAGGTGGAATAATAATGGGGTAGCCTCTCATTGAGCAAAGCATGTTTTGTTGTATCTCCAGCTCTGTTCAGCTGAGCAGAGGCGTGATTGATGATCCTGGTATTGGCAGGTCAGCGCATAGAGAGGGTAATTGACATGCAAAGCCTCAATTTAAACACTACTTTCATTCTCTTCTTCAGGACTTTTATCATATATGCTAATAACATTACCAAATTTGAATCATTTGAATTTCAGTTCCTTTCCATCCCAGAAAATACAAAAGATGACCAGAGAATGGCTTTACTAGGCATTAAGGATAATAAATAATCAATACACTAGATAATCAATTGTTGAGTATGGGAGTTGGTTATATTTCAAGTAATTTCATCCCAGTGTCCTCCCTAGTAAAACAATTGCAGAAAACAGGATCCTTGTGCATAATTAGATTAGCAATGATTTCAGATATTACAACAGAAAAAATGGCATGAAAGACCAAAAGCTACAAGGTTGAGATCCTGTTTCCATGTAAATAGCTATGATTTATTTCTGATCATAAAATCTTTAAAATGTTGGGTTTTAAGGGCATTTTCTTCTTGGCATTAAAGAAACCTGAAAAGTAGTGGCAAATATTGCTAAAGTAGCCCCTTGAATTTGAAAGTAAAACAAGATAAATAAGTAATATTTATTCAGAGGGTCACCATGTACGTTGGAAAAAGACCTAAATGGAGTTTATCTTGGAGTCTTACTAAAAGGAATGAGAAGAATATTCTCGGTGCAGTGAATGTAATGTTTTCCTTCTTATGTTTTACCGAAGCTGACATTCTGTGAAAGAGACACACAGTGAGTGCCACTTAATATTTTATCTGGTTCATTGAAACTGCCCTTTATTCACCTTTGATTAT